TCTAACTAACTCCTTAAAAGAGGAATCTAAAGGACTGACGTGGTTTGTACTGTCACAAATTCCACCCAGTAAAGATCTTAAAGCAGCTATGTATTCACACGTTATTTTGACTATTCTTGTTCCTTAAAAGTAGTAATTATGAGAGCTTGAGTGTGGGTAAAGTTTAACTTTAACAAGCCTTAAATAAAAAGCATGGTATTTCTTCAAATGTAAAAGTTTTCTACTCTTCACATTTTGCCATCAGCTAATTTTCATTCCCATTTCCTTGTTATTCAAGTACCCTCCCACTGCCCACGCTGTCTTCGAGGAGCCCGAATCCGTCAGCATCATCCTGGACCTGATGCAGATGTACCGGGAGAAGGGCACCCCGATCTTCTGCAAAGTCTGCATGTTGTTGGGCACGTTGGCTCAGGATCCCAGACGGGCAAAGGTCAGTCATGCTCCAAAGTTGCGCTCCAAAGTTGCTTGCTTGTTCGTGAGTAAAGCATGCACTGGCATGGAGCACTCTTCCAGATCGGGTTTGTGCTGTTGTTCCAAAGCCGTTCCCAACAGTAACAGCAGCGTGCAACTTTCCCTCATATCAGCTTTTTTGGGGGGGGGTCACTTCTCGTGTATGTCATTACAAATGGAAAAACGCTGTAAAAATCTTGTGCAGTTTGGATTTTTTTTTCTGAATTCCTATTTGCAACGGGCAGCATCCTTATTATTAGAGTGTTTGAAGTGTTAAAACTTTTGAGGTGCTCCCTTTGTTGGGTGTTGTATGCTGTTATCTACACCTTTGTTTTGTGTATTTAAGTTTCAAGGGAACAGTCAATAGACTGATCCCTTAAGCCCCGCCCTATTGGGTTCTGACCAATCACCGCCGTGAGTTGGGTCCGACATGCATGTTGCGTGTACGATGCATGTGGCTGGAACAAGTAGTGTTGCATTAGACAAGGGCACATGTTGAGTGTCCACGGGCACTGTGGGCCAGGCTTAGTGGAATGGTCTATTCCATGACAAAGATGTCATGCTTGTTTCCGTTTTACAGATCATCCTGTCGGCCCCGAAGAACAAGGAGAGGCTCGTGGGCATCAAGCGACTGACGGAGCGCAAGCACAGCCTAGAGGCCAAGCGGGCCCAGGCTAAGGCCCGCAGCCTCAACAACTCCTGCCTGTCCAACACCGGCAGTTGCAACAGCAGTTTCCTCGGCGCCAGCTTCCTGAGCACCAGCGCTCTCAATGCCAGCAGCCTGATGCCGGCTCCAACTCCCCGCAAGCAGCAGCGGCCGCAGCGGTGGGTGGAGCCGGAGTGGGTGCTGGGACGGTCCAAGATGCGGGAGATCGCTGACCCGCTGGAGGCGTGTTACTTTGTGATGGAGGCCTTGAATTTGAAATGAAAACATTCTCTCTCCTCGGGAAAGCACGCGAGACTGTAGCTGATAGTTTGTAGTAGCTTCAAGTTTTTTGTAGATCGGAGAATGCAGTCTGACTTTGTGTTGTGTTTTTTAACTCTCAAGAATGGAATTTGTACATAATGATCAAACTTTCCCGATGTTGTTTGGGCTTCACTTGAGCTTGTCTGTGAAGTTTTTCTTGTTGATTTGGCAGAGCTCTAATGCTGTTTAAAATGTGAAATTCTAGAAATGATAATTTGGTGCTTAGCTGAAATTTGCTTTCTGTGGATTTGAGAAACCTCGCATCAATCACTGAATCATTTCAATCTATAAAGGATGTAACTGAGATTTATGTAAATGACCTTTTTTTCAACTTATCCCATCAATTAAGGTTTTGCCCAAGGTTTAATTACAACATTACTTAAAAATATCCGATGGGACTATGAAAGAGTAAACCGATTTTTGGCAGAACTAGGATTCGAACCCAGTACCACTGTACATCTAGTCCTGAGCTCTACTGATGCCATTTTGTGCAAGAATGATCTCGCTTTGCTGGAGTACTCTTTTGTATATATATTGTACATATTTCTGATTGAATTTCTACAATGATCCCTGGAAGTTGCCTATAAGTTCAATAACTTTTACATCTTACAAACTGTATATTCCCTGAAATTGTGGGCCTGTCAGTTGCTAGTTAATCAGCGCAAGAAGTCAAAATGTCAATTTCAGTGTCATTTGCATGCATGTGTAACATATTTTCATCTGAGGGAAAATGGCTTCATCTAGAAAAGTCGCTGACACTTTGAGGATAACCATTTCTACATGCAAACATCCCAAGCGGCATTTCTGCATAAATATAGTTCAGGTGTTCCATCCACTTGAAATTTGTTGGAAGTGTATGTTACATTTTTGGCAGCTTTTGATGAATCATTTTTTTTATTTCCTTTGTTTTAATCATGCCACATGAATATTAAATGGGCTTGCGAAAATGTTAGTTGAACTGCTTTTAGATGCAATATAATACGTAGACAATTTAAATGCATGTCTTGCATGTTCTTGTCTTCTGTTGTAATTCATTCATTAGATATTCATGAGAATCAGAACGAATTTTATCAAGAAAGAGCCAACTCACAACAGGTGTTTATAAATACAAAATTCCCATTTATCAGAACTTTACAAATTTACAAAAGACCTTGTTTCCCCCCAAATTAGCATGTACACTGAACTGAATTGGCATAAAAGACAAATGTTTTAGTTTCTCAGAATTCCCATTTATCAGAACTTTTAAAATAGAAAAAAAGCCTTGTTTTCCCCCAAAATTAGCAAGTGCACTGAACAGAATTGGCATAAAGACATATGTTTCAGTTTCTCCAATTTGAAAATTTGTTGAATTCACGTGTCACAGCTGGTGCATTTGGTCCATGTGTCTGTGCCTAATGCCATGCGCCACCTGTCTGATGCTACGCTGGCCTTATTTGAACCACTGTGACTGCAAAAGAAGGGGGCACTCTTTGATTGATTAGGGTCAACTTAAAACAAGTGCGTTCAAGGACTGTTGGGTCATTTTTCTTTTGTCGTACCTTACCTCCGTACAATATAACTACAGTGGAAACCACTCAATTATCAAGCTATGGTCAAGAGTCACCGTGGCAACTGGCGGTCTATGCTCCGAGCTGTATATTTGGATAATGCAGCTACTCCTTACCGACAAAGTGACCAACCTTGCTTTGCTGGACCAAAACAGTCAACTGGACTCTTGTCTAGAGGGCAATTTGGTCAGATTTAATTGAACTATGACTCACCCATAGCACTTGGTCAAACTTGCGCATGGACGTTCAAAGGTGAATACAGAACAGTTTAGCCCAAACCACATGGTGCTAGTGGGTTTGTTACAAATTCATCTCAGAATCTAGTCGGACTGCGGCTGACACACACATGCTTCTAAGGAAAACGGATGCAGTCACAACCTGGTGACCTCCACAGGTGAACATATTATTATCAGCAGGAAAGTTGAGTAGTAGACGCAGCTGCACAGCCTTTTTGGACTAATGCAGTGAAAAGTAGTTCCAGTCATTTCAAAATCATGAGTCTGATATCAGTCCTAAAATGTGTTCTTGAAGGGTCAGCAGCTCTGTCCGGAGCCAGGGTGGAGGTGACTCCTGATCTCTGTCTTTTAGTTCCTGAATGGCCTGCAGGCTGGCCTGGATCTCGCTGATAGCCTGGCGATATTCTCCCTCAGTGGCTTCCCTCTTGGGACGCTTGGCAGCAGGCTAGGGTAATAATGCATGATGTTAAACTTGTAAGTTCACTTTCTTAATCCAACAAACAGATTTCCAGTATAAGACTTTCCTGATATAACTACTCTTTTCAGCCAATAAACATCCCTTGAACATACCTCGAAGGCCACACCTCTGTCTTGTCATGTAGAAGAGAAGCATGGCAGGGCTGGGACCACATTTACCCATTATAAACCCAAGTGACTTAAATTCTGCCTGAAGCAGAGAAGTGCGGGTGCTTGGATGGCACTGTCAGCGATTGTAGAGACAGCATTCAGACTTTTTGTCTTTCTATGGTTTTCAGAGAATTCACGGCAATCTTCTAGAAGTGGGAAACCTTCGAGAAACCTTCAGCATGTGATGCTCTTTTTAGTTTTGAAAGTGGAGAAGGAACTTGATATCAGAGGCTGAACTTCACACCTCAAATTGGAGGTGAAACAAACACCCAACAGCGGATATACATGTATATCAAAAATGTGCATGCACCTGATCATCACTGCATTCGTCATGAGCTGTGTGATTAGCTGCGATGTCCTGGCCAGTCCTCTGTTGCCGTGGGAGACACGTCTCCTGTTCCTCATCAGCTGAATCTGGCCTCGGCTCTTTCACTGCCTCGTCTTTGGCGAGAGCCTTGAGGAGGATTTCTGCCTGCTCCTGCAACCACTCCACTTCAGTCTTGGCTGGGGACGTACACTCCTTTGGAATCTATGTACAAAAACGAGATGGACAATGTATATCAGGCTTTTTTGTGGACAGTAGGAGGTATGGGCACGTGCATGCACAAAAGGGGCACCAGTTAATCTAATAAGAATGCGAAGGACCTTTTGATGGTTGATACAAACTGCAGTGCCTCACTGCTTGACGAGAGCCAATATACTGTACGCAGTGTTGCAGTCGAGTCACCAATGTCAAGTCCGAGTCTGAATCCCGAGTCTCAAGCCTCGAGTCCCAAACCTTGAGTCCGAGTCACAAGTCATGAATCAAATTGTTCAGCCAATTCAGCTTAGACTTCAGTTTTGCTGGTTCCTGTCAGAGTTTGAATATACGGTTTCGAACGCAGCTTCAAAATGGTTGGACCTAGCTAGACCAAAGTCTAAGCCGAATCCAGTTGTTTCAAAAACGCCCATACCAACACCAAAACCACTTCGCCCAGCACGGGCCACACATTTTTTATTTACACGCGAGCCTGTCCATTTTGCTGAAAGTGTCATATTCACGATTGGTTCTGGAGGCTATGAAGCCGACTATGCGTGTCTGTACTTGTGTGTAAATAACAAATGTGCGCCCAGCGCAGTCTAATTATCGCCGCACGATTTGTGGATACAGAATATGATGCACTTGGTTGACTCGTCAGTGGATATTTAGCTGATGACGCTCCACGCACGGAAACCAGTGATAGCACGGGTGCATACAAATTAATGTTCAACGGCATATACGGTAAATATGTTTAATGAAAGTCCAAGTCATTGTGGTAGAGTCTGAGTCATTATCCAATGTGACTTGAGTCGAGTCCAAGTCATGGAAAATGTGACTTGAGTCGAGTCCAAGTCATGGAAAATGTGACTTGAGTCGAGTCCAAGTCATGGAAAATGTGACTTGAGTCGAGTCCAAGTCATGGAAAATGTGACTTGAGTCGAGTCCAAGTCATGGAAAATGTGACTTGAGTCGAGTCCAAGTCATGAAAAATGTGACTTGAGTCGAGTCCAAGTCATGGAAAATGTGACTTGAGTCCGACTCGAGTCTGAGTCCTGGGCTCGAGTCATACAACACTGTACTGTAGGCACTGATTGGGTGGTAGGCAAATGTGTTAGCCAGTTCTACAGACCCTCTGTAGTTATTTGCTTTAATTATCTTCAGGCAAACTTAAATTCTCAATTCTGATTGGTCGATCCATGGCAACAGTGTCATACATAACTGTATCGCAACGTTCATATCAAACCCCATGTAATGCGCTGTTCTAACCCAATGCAGTGCGCTATTTTTAGGCTAAAAACAAAACGCACAACTGCGAAATTTATTTCAAATTCAAAGGTGGCGTGTTTGCGGAACACAGAATAATTTAGTGTGTGGCCTCGTGGCATACAGGACACAGACGCACTGCATTATTTTCTGTTCCGCTAGCACTTGTGTGATAACTAATATTATACTCACCTGATTCAAGAAATCCACCACAGCGCTGTGAGTAGACTCTGCCTGAAGACACTCTGGTACAACTGACTCGTGAGCCGTCTCCTAAAAATAGTAAATTCCACCATCATCATCATCAATTCAGTCCACAATTTTAAATTCCAAATAAAAAAGGCTTTTTCAAGTGCCCACCACTGCTACTATTCCATATTTTATAGATTACACTTGTCTTGAGCAGAAGCTCCGCCTCATTGGTTGAAAAGAGCCATGCTGGTGAGGAGTGTTCATTTTGTTGGTGGAGACACAACCGTAATATGTGCATTTCATAGGTATTTGTGAACCAGCGAAGTGCAGTTGCCACCAAAGGAGCCTCCAATGCTTGGAAACTGTATTACGCCCTCTCTTGGTCTTGCTTGGGGCTCATAACAATAGGCAATATAATATAGATAATTTGTCACAGTCTCATTTCAATACCTCTGCGAATGCACTGAAAGCTTGCAAAGCAAGTTGATGTAAGACGGCATTCTTGTCGGCAAGTACACCGGAGAACAACTCTGCGAAGCCAGCTAAAATGTCTGTCAGCTGAAAACAAAATTCCAAAAAGCCTATGAAATGATCTCTTGTGTCTGACATCACAGAATTCTTTCTTCAATTATTAGATTTACCTGGTAAACCCATTTCCATTCAGGCATATAGTGATTAAAAGTAAATTCCAAAGTACCCTCAGTGACATGAGATTGAGGAGAGGACGTTTACTATGTAACTACTTTATTTAAGATGGCTGCTTCCTTGTGCACTTTCCATGTGCTTGCAACTGTAGTCAAGCGGGGGCGCTATAATGGATATATGGTCAAGGCATATTCCTACAGGAAACAAAAGCACGCTTGTTCTCTAAGAAGGGGGGTTGATAGTTATGATAACCCTACCTTGGGACTGCCGTGAACTTTAACCTTTCTGCACCTATGTAGGAGGTTGATAATCTCCAGCCTCAGTTTCAAAGATGTGCTTGGTAGAAAACTGCATAAATCTTTCGTTACCTAACGAAAAAATACACAATGAGACTGCCTTGAATATGAATGAAGGAAAAGGTGTGAATCTGATATTGTAAGAAATTGTAAAGTTTTGGGGAAATTTGTCTTTACCACAAGATTTATGTGAAATCTTACATGAGAAAGGATAATACTTTTACCTTGGCTAAATCCGAGGGCTGTAATCCAGATGCTATCAAACCAGTCAAGTCAATCAAAGCGTTGGTAATATCATGTGACTTGATTCTGTCCAATGGGAGCACTTCCCACAGTCCAGTCACTGTCTCCATGACACTTTGTGTTAGCTGCATTCTGACTGGCAGGCTTAAATTCTCAAATTGTCTGTACACGTTGGATATGCAAGATAACCCAGTTTTCTAGAAAAAAAAACAAACACTGAGTGACCAAAAAATTCATAAAACACTGTAACAATGTCACAAATTCCTTGATATTTTGCTATAAACCATCCTGTATTTGCTCAAACCTATTTTGTTTACTCAAGAAATGACTAAACCCAAGATTTGCTGCCCAATTGAACTTCAGATCTACTGTCCAGGGCACTGCATCAGGGGTCAGTTTGAATATACAAGTATTTTACAAAGTGTGTCCTTCAACTCACCTTTCCAAAATTAGCTCAATTAAGTTATTTCTCCTGGGCAGCACTTTTGAGAAAAGGTGCCCCTGTGCATTTCTACTGCTTTATTTTTACCTTCAGTAAGACTTTTCTCAATAGTTAGGATAGTGAGCTTCCATGCAACTGTTCATGAACCATTAACTCATGTTGGAAAATGCACTAGCTTACTGGCATTTGGGTGATAACTTATTCTGACCTATCTTGGTAGAATTGCATCAATGCAGCTTGGGAAATATTGTTTAATTACATGGCATACAAAATGGACATGAGACTCGTAAAACCTGAGACAATCAAACTCAATACCTTGCTCATAGCGACAGGTCAATTCCTGTGCATGCTTACCAACTCTTCAAGTGAGCCGTAGGTGTGATCTTCTGCATTAAGCCAGGCCTTGCATTGTGCCAAGCCGTGCCCAACCAAATCCTCTGCAATCGCTTTCCTTGTCGCTTCTTGAAAGGCAGGTAGAGCTATGTGTCGCCACAACGCAACATGTTGCTTAGGTGGAAACATTCTTGGTAATTCCTCCTGAAGAACGAGAGACAGAAAACGACAGTTTCCATGTGAACTTGTTCAGGCTTGTTGAGTGGCAGGTTATTTTTCAGTTTACTGCAACTTTGACTCAGATGTTAAAACTGAAAAATCTAAAAAACCAAAAAACCCAGAAACTCACAGCTGCATGAAGACTTTTATCACATCTTCCCCAATTTTTATTTGGAAACATGGAAAGTAAAACGTAGGAAGTTGAACTGAAAAGTTTTATTTTTGTAGGCTGCAAAACAAAGGAGCAGTGCTAGATTTACCTGGTGCTCTTGTGCCATTAGAGGAACCAGTCGCCACAGCAACATGCCCAGGTGCGTGTAACCTGGGCTGTGATTGGCCGGTGTAGAGGTCAAAAGGTCCGCCACTAAATAAACATGACTTGCACACAGGTCAGCAGTGCCATATCTGAACCAAATTAAAAAAGTGTTTTTTAATAACCATTTAGACCCTTCTTTTAACCCCTTGGCGATGGGAATTTTTTTCCGAAAGCCGACTCCAAGAATTCCAGCCTCGCTTGGCCATGAAGGCCACCTGCCAAACTGCAAATTCTCGGTTTGTGGCCCTGCATGTTCTGCACGCTTTGAATTACACAGTGAAGAGGCTCATTGTTCGGTGGCATGCAGCTCTACTCACACTTCCACATTCCCGTTGCCTCTTTTCAAAGTGGGGACTATTGTGAAGCTGGTGATTATGATGTGGCTTCGGCCTTTTCATTTCTTGGCAACACACAAAGGCCAATCACCATATATACAAGAGCCAGGGTCTGCCTTCTTTCACCGTGTTTGCTTGAGCGTGGGCCGAGAATAATAGCTGAAATGCGGGCTGAGGATCTCAATTTTTATGGCGGTTCTTACCGTCTCCCGGTGTAAAGGGGTTAAAAGTCAGATTTTTGTGAAAATTTCAAGGGCCTTGTAGAATTATTTTTTACCATAACAATGCCTACAGTTGTCATAGAGATATATTTAATTGTATGGGGGATGCAAATGAAAGGAAATCATACCTTGCGAGAAAACACCAGACATCCATTGCCAACAAGGCACAGTTGAGCTGACTGGAGACAACATTTTCCAACAAACACCTCTCCACGACGCCAAATTGTGAAGCACTTACTGCTGCAACAAAGCCGCACACTTGGGTAACGACATATTCCCTCAAACTAACATCTTGCTCGGGTTGACCTTGGCGGACAACGATTGGCAACTTGATTGGTAAGGCTAGTTCAACATAACCTAGGATATACAGGTCAGAAATGGATGATTTTTTAAAAAAACACAAAATCATATTAAAATTGGAGGATTCAGGGCTGTTAGGGTTATCACATAAGCTTTATTATGTGTGGATGGATTTGACTGTGTCCAGCATAATTTGAAATGATGCAACTTTCATCCTTTAGATAACAAAACTTACAGTTGGAATAACTTCTGAAGACTGCCCCCAAAACAGATACTCTAGGCTCCTCCCATGTTGGAGTTGTGGATTCCATCCAAGCAGCACGAGTTTGCTCTTGGCAGGATGGCAGAATTTGCAAGATCTTTACCAAGGTCAGAAGTCTTCCCAACCAACAATTTCCATGGATGTCTGTGATTAACGTTAAATTGTATTAATCATGGGCTCAAAACTCCTTGATCTTTATTTAAAGATAACAGATCATTTTCTGAAGACAGACTTTGGACTTTTAAAGTCCAAAAACATGCCAAATAACTTGACACAAAACAATGCCAAAATATTGAATATTGTTTCTTTTCTTTTGTTCAGTCTTGGGAATCACAGTTAGTCAGGCTACAATAGTTAGGTGAGAGATCTTTACATTCATACAGTATAGTACATTGCTTTCATGTGTTCCAGACTTCTGGGAACCAGACAGAAACAGCCCATAGCACAATTTGACCGTGTACAAATTATTCTGCTGCGGCTGCCAACAACCCAAGCATCTATGAGAAATGGATTAAGCCGCTGGCTAGCAACTTCCATAGGCCCACACACTGTTGGCAGCCATAACCAACTAACTTGGATGAAGGTCTGTAATGAACAAGATTTGGATTCTACTTGCCTTGCTTCACAGCAGTGACGGCTTCACGGAACAAGGTATTGTCCACCAGTTGCTGGAGTAGCGGTTCGACACACACCAGTAGGGCTCTGTCTATCTCACTCCTGGCACTGCTGAAGACGTTGGGGGCATGGATGCTGGGCGGGGCCAGACTGCTCAAGGAGAAAGGGGAAGGGCAGAAATAAGACTTTATCCCTTGCTTATCAGTTGCAAAAACACTCCATGATGTTTTAAAAGAAGGGCCTTCAAATGACAGTGGAGAGTGTCGTCTTGTACTGACACGGAATTGGATTAGGTGAGATTCTAAAACAACATTCTCTGAACAAGAAATGAAACTGTGCTCTTCCTTTTACTTTGACCTTTCACAGGAAGGGATGAGAAATTTTTAAATTTTTGTGAAATGCAACAATGACGAAATTTAAATGCCATTAATTGTCTTACCTCACCATTCCTACTAAGAAAAATGTTACGAGTGAAGTATGCTATAATGGTAACACATGGAAAATGTTTTTGCTTGGGTAGGAAAAGTAAATTTAAGTAGCAGAGTAGCCAATTCAGAAGGAGAAAAGTTTTGATCGTCTCACACCAAGTTTTCTCAAACCTACCTCAAGAAGGACAAGATGAGCTCGTATATCTCCTTCACGCATGGCCCCAGGTAGCCATCCAGCTCCTTGAGGAGGTGCATCAGCATCTTGACGCAGAGGCTGCAGATCTTCAGAGTCTTGGCGAAGGCCTTCTCGTCGCCACCCTGGGAGGACTGAGTGGAGGGCGGGTGAGGGGCGAGGCGGAGACACTGGTCGTAGTTGGCCTTGATGTCCGAGCACAAGGTCGCTACGATTGGATGGATCTTCGCAAAAGAAAAAAAAGGACATGAATAGACCTACCGACTGACTTTGTTCACGAGTTTGTTTTCCAACAGAAACCAGGTGGGCACAACAGATTCCAAGCTCCATCGGAAAGTATACATGTAAACAAAGCATGACATCATCAGAGCTTAGCTCTACTGTTTGAAGCTCTCCCAAAATTGAAAATTCTAAGAGAAATCAAAGCTTGAAATACAGCTGTGTGCATTTTATGACCATTGTGGAATTTTCGTAGGCACTCAAATTTTTTGTTGGCCCCTGAATGAGCCAGTTTGGATATTTCAACGGCACAAGCCCGAAGTGAGGAACATGCATGTGCAATTGTCCGCCCTATCTGAGCAGCCATACACCAACTCATGTGCGTACACTGTACCTTAAAGACCTTGCCTTACTGAAATACTAAACTGGCTCACTGTTTGTAAGCCTAAGGCACCATTTCCCACTGTGTGTCTACTTGATAATACAGTCCAATGTTACAGGTTTGTCACCGTGCGTATTCCTTTGGGATGGCCTAACATTCAATGTAGATTGGACGTGAACTGACCGGCAGGACATTTTTCAACAGTTCCTTGTGCTTGCAGACTAACTTGACCAGAAACCTCCAGGTGCTGACCAACAACGTGCTGTCCATGTCACCAATGACGACACACAAATCGTGGAATCCCGTACACACTGCAAATGAGGTTGCAAACGTGTACTCATCAACATGTTAAAGTGCCTGTGCTGATCGGAAAATGTCGGTCTCTTAGTACACTGCGCACTGATGATCCAAAACTCAAGACAGCTAAACAAGATAGAGGAGGCTAAGTCGAAAATGGGCTAACAGAGGCTACAGGTACAACTGTTCCTGCGGATTAAGACCCAGCCCTAGCCTTAGCCAGTAGATTTAGAAGCAGCTTGAGTGTCTTTTGGACATCCTAGCTATTACGGTGATGTAAGACAAAAAGACTTTGACATGTTGGAAGCTCTGATTACAAATTTGGACATCCAAATACAATTTTCCGATCCCAAAACCTAATTCAGATCCTGTATTCAAACTCTAAATCCACACATGCTGAGAAATCCAAGGTGGTCGGAAGATGTGGTCGGAAGATGTGATCTTCCGTAAAAGGGTTTCTAGGTACAGGAAAACATGACAACTCACCCTGGGCCATGACCTCAATGCATTCGTCCCCATCCTCTGACGTCAGATGAACCGCCTCCAGGAGAACGGTCAGGGACTTCTGCAGACTGTACGCCTTCTTGAAGAGGGAAGACAGGATCTCAGACACCAGGGAAAAATGATCGCCGTATATGGTGGTACTATCCTGGTGAAAAACCCAACGATTTAGCAAAATCAGCTGTGCTCCCTACTAAATATGGCCTATTCAAACCAACTGATTTTTGAATTGGATTTAATTAGAATGAATTGGGTCCAATTGGTAATCAATTGGTGCTCAATTGGTTTCAGTTGGTATGTTTTCTCTCCTATTGTTTTCCCCCATCAACTGAAGATTTCAAATGGGACGCAATTGGATTCAATTGGCATTTTTTTCTTTGCTGTTTATTTTCCCGAATCAATTGGAATTTCAAATGGGAATTAAATGGCTCCAATTGGTATGCTTTCTTTCTCTTTGTTTTCCTTGATCAATTGGAAATTTCAAATGGGATGCAACTGGTTCCAATTGGTTTACTTTCAGCTTCCCCCATCAAATGGAGTTTTCAAATGGGACTCAATTGATTTGAACTGGTATTAAAATGGTTTCAATTGGTTCTTCGGTTGGCTACAATTGGATTGTGAATTGGCATTCAAATGGTGTCAACTGGTCTGAAATGGTCCAACTGCAAAAAGGTCCCAATTTACTATTTGAACAAATTGAACCCAATTGGATGCCAATTGATTCCAAGCAAAAGCAATCGGTTTTGGAATTGGTAAGTGAATTGGTTCCAATTGGTATGTGAATTGGATCCAAAGGGTAAGTGACTTAGTCTCAATAGGTAAATGAATTGGACATTTTCAGCAGGGCTACATTGAATACAGTGGGATTTTGTTTGAAGTTTGGGGAGTTGTTAATGTAAACTTCACAAACTTGTAAAGTAATTGGCTGTGACAGAAGTGCTTACTTTGCAGTGATGGAAAGACGCGTGGATGATATGTAACATGGAAGAGGGCAGCGATTTCACCTTGCCTATGGAGAGGGCGCCCCCTGACAAAGTGTTCATGATGTGTGACACGCAGGAGCAAAGGCACTCCAGCGTATCCAAGATGATCTACAGATAGGGACAATAAAATTTTTAAAAAGTTGTATTGTAAGTGGCATTTCATGTCGCATTTCCTGACTTTATATACCCAACTATTTCCATCTCAATAAACATTTCAGCCAAAACTGGTCAGAAAAAGTTAGGGTATTTTTCAAATCACTGTGAAACAGTTGTTTATAGGATAAAATTTGGAAATAATTTTTCGCTGCATTTGATTCACATCTTTTGCACTGCTATTAAAGTACAGTAAAGTTTCAAAGTGTTTTTAACAAAATACATTTCTCTTTCTCACCCAAAACGATGCTGACACAGTAAAGGTGTTTTCGTCTATTTGCCACTACTTAAAAACTCGGTTCCATCTTCTTGTTGGTTATTTTATCAGAGGTCTTAAAGATTTCAGCCAAATGTTGCTTTTCAAAATTGTAGTTCTGCACTCCCAAAGGGAGAGAGAGAGAGAGAAACGTGTGATTTGTACCTGCAATAACGTCTGCAGTTTCTCCTTGAGGAGGCAACCATCTTCCTGGATTGACACACTGTCGATGGTTGGAGACACCTTTTTCAAAGTGTCATCAAACAGTTGACAAGTCTGTAAAAATATAAATCCAGAGACACAAACTTGAAAAATTAATGGGTTGATGTTTATGCTGTTTATTATAAGCAAGAGGTTATAAAATTCAAAACGACCACTAACTTCCTAAAAATGATCCAGTGTTTGTAAAATCATTTAGATTTATTAAATAACTGTGGTCCATATTTTACTTGTGAAAAAATTATAACCTTTGGGAGAACATTTGTTAAGAACTGTTCTTCAAGATTTCCAAGCTCCAACCAGGGAAGGAACGATCCCACCATGACCTTCAGGGTGGCCATCTTGGTGACTGTATGCCCTCCATTACTGTACTGAATGTGAAGGGTGTGGTCAAGGAAATTCAATAAACACTGAGTAGGAACTTTTTTCAGTGAGTGTCATAAAACTGTGAATCAGGCACATTTTTGACCGAAGTATATCTGAAACCATGAACAATAAAGGTAAATTTAGAATAAATTTTTTTAAGAGGTAAGTCCTACCACATGTGGCTCCCATTGTAAGGACATTCAGTTATTTAGCCCAAATTAAGTGCCATCAATTTCTCATTCAACACCTAAATTGATTAAACTGTAAAACTTCTTATTTTTCTCCAGGATTCGTGTTACTTATATTTACATTAAATAGCAAATTGTATCCTCCGTGAATTATACCAAATGCAAGTTTCTAATATCGCCAATTTTGCTAATATGGTGACTTGAGGCATACCATGAAGCTTGACTGTGCATGTGGCACGTATGGTTTTCAGATATCTGACAAGAAAATAAGAGTGAAATTTGCAAAAACATCAACAAAATTGACAACACAGGGTAAAAAACTCAGTCAAGGCAGCAGCTGTACAGTATTTCAGTGGTTCCGCGTTCCAATCCCACTTTGGGCTATTCTCTTTGTTCAACCAAAACAGAGATTTGTAAACTCAAGGATATAATGAGCTTTGGGAGAGTGTCAGCCAGCTGTGCTCTGCAGGTGTCGGGACTCCAAGTCTTGATGTCCTCCAAGAAGGAACTCTGACTCTCAGTCTGTGACATATTACACAATTCTGAAAACAAAACTTTAAAAAAGAATAAAAACAGTTTCTGAGTGTTGGGCCCTGGCTTAACTACTGCAAAATGCTATGGTTGGGGTGTAACACTGGACTGATTGATATTTAATGCTGGCTACTTCAAGAACTGATAAGTTAGCTTGACGTGCTTGAGTAACTCCAGCCTGGGCCATGTCATTGCGAAATTCGCAAAAGCGAACTAAGTAACGTAGGCCTACTGATCATGCTGATTTCATGAGCATTAGGGTTGGAGCTACTCAAGCTACTGATGGGTCCTTATTATTGGTCCATAATAAAGCAACATTTGTCATGATTATTCACTCTTATTGCCACTTTATCTCGATCTTGTCATGGACAAGACAAAGCCTGGCATTTAATGTCATTGGTTAATTGTTTACCACTGTTTACAGCTACAGTAGTTGTGCAACAGCACAAATCCCCCAGATCACCAGTCCAACACCATCATTTTGTCTAAAATCTTGCAGGGGGCTAAAGGATCACTCTCTGTTCCTCATTTAGTGATACCTTGCTGTTCAAAACACAACTATCCGTGGAATCCACAGTATCATTTTACATGTCATCTCGTTTGCCAGTGCCACGATCGACGTTCGTAACAGCCGCCATTCTTCTTAAAAATACTTCCGGGTTGGGTCTGTGGTTGATACCAAAATAATTATGGCTCCGTATAGAAAATTATTTTTTCCAAAATTAATGTTAAATGTACACTGAATTACTCTTAATGATTTTTCTTTAAAAAGTAAAAAATTATCAGAAATTTAGATTTTATTCAGGTTTGGTGATCAATAAATGTTTTATATGAGAAGAAATGCTCCCCTTTACACCTATCTGAAATATGGAAGCACCCAATATTTCCCGGGAGTCTGACGTACTTGGCGCGAAAGTCTGCGTGTAATGCATGCAGTGAGAGATTGTGCCAACCACTTAACAGAGGTGAACGGCGAAAGAATAACTTCGATTTTCTTCACACTTTATTTTTGAATTAAGATTTGTCAGATTGCAGTTGAAGTAGAATGCCCTCAAGAATGGAAACCAAGGCTGTTATTCCCCAGGACGTGGGAGCAAGGTGAATTGACTTGGTTTAACTTTGCACGATGTGCGCCAGATGTTTGATTTGTTTGTACTCAGGTACTAGGTACTAGCCCAGGTTGGACGAAAGTCGCAATACAATGTAGACGTCGTCCAACATGGGCTAGTTTGTGTACTAACGTGCATGACGTTAGGCCCTGTGCTACATGTAACGTGTGTTGTTGTTAGACAATGATCGCCGCGCCTGGCCTGCCTGTGGCCTCGATCTTTGGCCTTGTTGTATTGACCAAGTTATAGAGGGATTTCACATTAGCGCCGTCTGTGCATATCTGCATCGAAACCGAGGTTATGTGTTGAACTTGGTCGCGCACACTCGCGGAGTCCACACAGTGCATGGAGTATCCGGTTCGTATGTGTGACGCCACTTCAGTTTTAACCACGCCCACTGCACAAGATACACGGCCATCACAGGTACATTAGTTTGCGGTCAATTGTCGTTATTTTTTCTTTTGATTTTACGTGTCGAGTCATCCTGAAAGACTTTTCCACAAAAATTTGCAGCCTGAAAAGTCTGAATTTAACATACCGTTACGTATTTTGTGTCTTGACTCCCTACTTTCAATCGTCTAATCGTATTAAGATTTGAAGCTGACACATACAGCCTCATTTTCAAACGCGGAAGTGCACTATTTGAACAAGATGTCCTACCCAACAACTTCAGAAGATAACTGATTCGTCTGAGGAGCATGTAAAGCATAGTTGTATAAAGCCCCCCCTCCCAAAAGACTCCGGTTTCTGGTTATGGGCTTTGTCCAAAAGTGGTGCGGTGACGGTTTTTTTTTACTCTTTTTTTTCTCCTTAGAATTGATGTACATGCACATACAGTTTAGAGCGCATGGCTTTGTTACTACAAGAAGTGTGAATTAACATCTTTGAATTAATAAAAAGACCATAAAATATGACGAGAGGCAATGGTTTCAGTCATCTCACTCAAAAAAGAGGCTTCTATTCTTGGCAGGATTGAGCTTGTTAAAATACAGTAGCACAACCGTGGAAAAATCACGTGTGAAAAACAAATGTTCAGCTCCAGTTTCCGGTTTGAAATGAAATTCTCGTGAGGTAGCAGTACATGACATTCTTTGCACATTGTTTTCCGCTTTAGCTTAGAGGAAACAAGTTGCATGTCAAATAGCCTATGTAAAAAATAAATTAAAAAAAAATAGTTCAGCTCCAGAGTCAAAATGAAAATGAAATTCTCATGAGGTAAATGATATACTCTGCACTTTGTTTTCTGTTTTAGCTTATGAGAAACAAGCTGCATTTAATAAACTGGAGAAAAAATTCAGCTCAGAAAATAAAATCTCCTCTCACTCTAATCTACCTTTGTTCTTGGCAAGTGACGATCAATGATGCATGAGTTGTTACGTGTCTGGTTGTCATAACGCGATGCATGTCCATTGCCACTGCATGCATATGTACCACCACTGCCTCGCCGACACTGAAACAGACTGGCTCTTCTCGGTTTGTTGCTTAAAAGCATTTTCAATTTGTGTACTTATGCAGGACGCAAGACCACTTCGTTTGTCTGGTTCACAGATGTACGTGTGCCCGGGTGCGAATCAATTGGCTACGGCCGGAAATTACATTGAGTATTTGAAAGCATCCACGGCCAGTTTCCCTAGAATCATACGTAATATCAAGCTGCAGCCAATTGATTCGGACATGGCCTTCATGTAAAGATACACGAATGACGTCATCTGATAAGATTGACTGAAATGTATGGAGGCCTAGGGGGATTCCTTTACCGTACAGATTACTCAACCCCACCTATTAAAAACATGTTAAAATTGCACCATAGCAGAATTCCTGCTGATCAAGTAAATTTGGCGGCTTTTGGAAATCGTTTTATGCAAAATAAAAAAATTCTTTGTTTTGCCGACGTGCAGGTCTAAGGCGACGGGCACAGTGACCAGAAACCGAAGATTTTTTTTTTGCCTAAACAGGGATCAATTCTTGGATACAATCGTGACGTTTAGGGTAAATTGGGTCTCAAGACTGACGTAATTAAGCAATTTGCTCTACCCGGACAAGAATTACAAATTTTTTTTGACATTATTATTTGGATGTGATTATGTGCATGTGTAAACAGCCAATCAGGCGGACCTTATAACGACGTCACCCTGTCAAGGAGATCATACTACAAACTACACAGGTCTTTTTTCGTTGGAATGTTGTTCATTTTTTCAGTGTGATGCCAAAGAAGGTTTTGCAATATTGAGAGGAAAAGGATCCTTTACTGTGCATGAGCAAATTATTTTAATGTGCAGTGGAGTCTTTGTGCCTTTACATGTACATCCCAGCAAACTTTACTGATGAAAATTAACGTGTCAGTAAGAGTTGGAGTGTTTTGATAATCTAGCTTGCTTTACTATGGCAAGATATATCTTGTCACAGGAACCCTGTCAAAACCGTTCAGCAATCAGGAGATACTACTTCTGTCTTTCAGAAATATCTGCATTTTTTTTGTCAGTCGAACTAGAGAATTGTTCAATACAAGATGTATAAATTACGGATTCACAACATCTGACACCTACTGAAAGAAGTTACAAGCATTAACAAAAATGAAACCTGCAGCGAGATCAGCAAACCAAAGTGCCATGCATGATCATTAAGTTTCCTGCTCATCCTACATGATTTAATATCAGTAACAACTGTGAACTGTGCGTTCTTAGTTCTTGAGCCTCCACTTTGGAATGAATTGAACTGAATAAACTCAACAAATTAAAGGACACTTCGGAGTGATAAAAAAGGGCATAAAAGGTTGGCATACTGTAGCTACTTGTAAATATCAAATGTTGGTCGTGTTTAATATAAAACTTAACTGGTCATTTTCCAAAAGATTTACCCAACTGTTGAGTACCTTGTGACGAGAAGTTGGGATGTTCTTATCTACACCAATTTAGAGCAAAAGTGAGTAAAAAATTACCAGTTGCTTTTGCGATGCAATAGCAGTAGCAATTGGTAAAGTCGTACATGAACAGGTAAATACAGAATTCCCAAAACACTCATAAATCAATATTAATTAAAATTAGAACAAGATGTTGTTACTGTAAGATGGGCGCTTTAGAGCTCAGAACACATTTAAGTTATGATTTTGATTTTAGTATGAAGTTTTGCAAAGGTTTTATCTATCAAGCAGCTTTTGGAGATCACCTGCTTAATGATTACAGAGGCACACAACTAACACCAAACGGTTACGCATAAATTACGCAGCTTAATTTTATTTATTTTTTTTACTGAACAGCTGTGAGGGACATACAATTAAAACTAGTCAATTAAAGAAGCAGCAGCTTTTGATTTGTTTCATTAGATAAGCTTTCCCTGGAAGATTTGGAAATAGATAATATAAATCGGATAAAAAAGTTTATTATCTCTCTTGACTTGTAGCTCATGACCGTAAAATCTGATTCTGACCGGCCGTTCTTGCTGAAAAACCAACCAATTTCTGATTCATTAATCCATTGCCACCTGTTTACTGGTCAAGTTTATCTTAAGCATGTACTACTTTATTCCATCCAAGCCCTAATGCAGATCATCAGCTCATCTCTCTCATTACGGATGGTTGCGTTTCCTTTATAGTCCATCTGAAAGTAAGAAAAAAATTAAGATTGTACAGCAGGTTACTTCTGAAATGAAGACTTTTCATGTGTCAAATAGATGTATTGTTAGAGTAATGTATTCAAAACTTCAGCTCTGGCAAAGAAGTCACAAAACTTAAATCAGCGTTGGGGTTCCAGAGAAATGAAATGAAAACTGCTAACTTTCACAGTTTTATATATATGTATACTTAATCGACATCCTGCTATGAAGTGTCACTGAAAATTCCATTTAAGAAGTCAACACCAGTGATTTTAACTTTTTCTTTCAAATATCTGCTGACGAACAGAGCTTAGATCTGTGTGTGGTTGGACTCAAAATATAGTCGTTCAAAAATAGTCCCAGGGCCCCTGGTGGTTTAAAAATTCCTTTTGAAAAAATTCAATTAGATTTTATTTCTTGTAGTAACGTAAAATGTGTAAAAAGTAATTTTTTTACCTCCTTGAAGTTATCATCGATCCAGATGATGTCAGAAATCACTCTCTTTTCTATGATAGACATAATAATAATAAATAATAGATGAATTTGTGCCGGGGAGATGTAAATTAATTGTGGATTTAAAGTATAATATTAAACTAAATTAAGTATAGTATTAAACTTGCCAGCTGTCACTGGCAAGCTCATTGGTCGAGTGGTTGAGACGTCTGCACTAGTAAGCAGGAAGTCACGGGTTCGAGTCCCACACAAGTATGCTTGTGGTTTTTTCTCAAGTTTTCGGGGCAAACATTGAGTATACAGTGTTGTAATACACGTTGGGCACAGCCCCCAAATCCAAAATAATAAACGTCTGAAGATTAGACTATACAGCTGATCAACTTTTTAAGCTAAAGAGCCCCGACAGCTGTTTTGGGAAACCTTTGCATAATTAACCCTAGCAGTCCCCAATCGTCCAACAGGTGAAGGATTGAGGATTGTTAGGGTTAGAACAGTAATAAACCACATCTATCGATTGGNTCGTTTCCGTCAATGAGTTGGTCAACATAAAATCACATCTCTTAGGATTGTATCTACAATCCTGGCCAAAATTGTTGGGCTACGTGTCAATAGCCATACCCTCCCCAGGTCCCCCACTCCACGGTCAGTGTTGTCATCTCGAGCTGAATTGCAGACTGTGCATTGAGACCCAACTTTAAGATGGAGCCGGTTGGTGGGTGGGGGGCCCAACGAGATTTGGCCAGGGGTGTGGCTTCTGACAGGTAACCCGCGTACAGTTCAGTCAGTACATTGTATCATAGTTATACAGCTGAGAAGCCTTAACCATTGGTATTGCAGTTTAGGAGTCTAAGGTTCTAGTCACTGTTGGACCTACCTCCCTTTGTGACGTAGCAACCTTTAGGATCGATTGTTTTACCATCAGCGCAGTAGACATCTTTGTAGTGATATGGCCAATAGTTCAGGTAGACTTCTGTGACTCCAGCAACCATATCATGAGCTGCAAGAGAGCAAAAAAACAGACACCAGAATCTTTTGACAGTCGGATGATTCTGGGGTCAGACCTACAAAGACCTTTTCTAAACCATGCAGAATTCATGCCGGTGTAACCCTTAAATTCTTTTATTCGGGGTGATGGATTTTGCTTTGCATGGCCAACACTATAGGTGTCGGTTTGTTTAGCAAATTATGCGAATTGAAATTTTGGCAGTAAAATTGCCCTATTTCAATTTTGTGTGAGTGTGAATTATTTGCTTGTACAAATAGGTCTTTGCTTTAATATTCATTCTTTTGAGGTATTTTTTTCTTGTCTCTAATGTTTAATCTTGTAAACAGGCATTGTAATTTTTAGAATTTGAGTAATGATGTAAACCAACTCACCTGCTACAGTTTCGAAGGTAAGGTTGAGTACTTGTCTGACTTTTGGTGGGTTGGGAAATATGGTCAAGTTGAATGGTGGTCCTATTAATCAGAAAATCAATCAAAGGCTTACAGGTGTCACGAGATCCAGAAATATATTTTGGACTGTCAAATAGAATAAATATAACTTTAACTCTTTTAGTTTCTTACCAATGATTAGATTGGTGTTTCACATGCACGGTTGTTTTGTTGGCCAAAAAACACCACTATTTAAACTGTAATATTTCAACTTTCGATTCAATCGCAAATCTTTTGCCATACTGTGTTTGTGCCCAACGAAATGCCAGTAACAATGCAAAGTGTATACTTGATGATTTGGGCATTAATAGTTGCCTAGATTCAAACCATTCCCGGTAACTTGCATTGTTGGTACTTACTACTGAAATTACAAAGGAATTTTAGGTCATTAGACACGGAATAAAAAACCTGAAAACAATTTTAAAAAGTATCTCTGTCACAGAACACTTATTGTCTGATGTACACCTTAGTCTTGTAAAAACGGATGACTATTTTGGAAGTGTTTTGCTATGAATATAAAGCGATGTGTCAGGTATTCAAACTTTAACCCTTTGATGACCAAAATGGGGTTTTACACTTCATGTTTCTCTTCTCGTTGATAACTTCATTTCTCTTCATACTATATAGTGTGCCGCAATCCTTTTCTTCCGCTGATCAACCTTTCTTTTTTTTCTTTTTTTTTTTACATTTGAAAGTAATTTGGGGCCCAGATTTTGTAGAGTTCACTAAGGGTCTCTCACTCTTAACTTCACCTGATCGCATGGTCACTTCCCTTCGATGGTTAACAGAGGTGGCTTAAATACATCTTTGTCAGAGACTGGACATAATCTGATCTGCCAGCAATGAGCAATTCTGATAGTTTTCCTATTTCCGTGCCGCTTGTTGATTGATTAGAATGTGTTCTTTATTGTTAAACTTACCGCAGTTCTCATAGGCAATCTTTGGCATCACTTGCATCTTTTCTAGCTGGTGGGATAGTGTAACCATTGCAGTCACTAACATCAACATTTGCAGTGTTGTCGCCATGCTTCTTGTCGATCTGCTGACTGCATTCAGTCTGAGCCGATTTCTTCCAGTATGTATCGCTTCCCTTGTGTTGTCAGTGACCTACATGAAAATAAGAGTACTTATACTTCCTGATACTGCGAATGTATTAAGGGGATTTCCATGTACACTGGTGGCTATATTTTATGTATAATATGCTTTGATCCAAAGTTTCTACATTG